GGGCTGCTGCATTCTGGACCAGTTGTAGTCGTGCAATGGAGGTCTGACTGATACCAAACAGGAGTGAATTGCAGTAATCAAGCCTAGATGTCATGAATGCATGTATTACTGTCTCCAGGTTCTTTTTGGACAATATGGGCTTCAGTTTAGACAGCAGCCTCAGCTGGAAGAAGCATGATTTTACAATCATGCTTATGATTGACAGATAGATAGTTTCTTTGTTTTCAGCTGATTTGTTGTTTGAGAAGTTGTTAAACTGAATCCTTTTTATGTCCCTGGTCAAAGTTCTGTTCCTTGTGTTTGCTGACCAGAGCTGAAGTTTTCTGTCTGTGGTGAAAACCTTGAAAAATAAATCCTCCACTAAGCATGTAGTAAACAAACGCATGCTTTCTTCACATGTTGTTTGCAGTCGTTGCAGTGACAGAATGAAGACAAAGGAAGAGGTGAAGCTCATCAACCAGGGCCTGGAGGATGAGATGGTAAATATCACTTTTTAGTTATGTTTTAAAGTCTGCTCTTGTTTCTTTTGGAGCAACACGGTGGTCTTTTTAAACAGTTGTCAGGTAGAGTGAATGGAGACGGGACGGAGCCACAATCTGACAAAATCTTGACAGTTGCTGTGGTGGAGGCAGGGTGAGGCAGGGAGGAGGAGGGGGCGACCTTAGCATTTCCTTACAGGTCAGCTCTGAGACGTAAAATATCCTGTTTCAATTCAATTCAGTTTATTTATATAGCACCAAGTCACAACAGAAGTCATCTCAGAGCACTGAACAGAAACATTCATATATAAAAAATAACATTATTTGTCTGAGGAGCTGACTGCTTTGAATTGAACTCCATCACAGACTTTCATCTTGATCAAGCATGAAGGCAACATTGGAAAGGAAAAACTCCCTCATGAGGAAGAAACCTTTAGCAGAACCAGGTTCAGGACAAGCGGCCATCTGCCTCGACCGGCTGGGTTTGAGAAGAACAGGAAGGCGGAACAGATACACAATGGCAGGTCGAGAATCACGTGAAGCTAGAAATAGTATCAAATGTAAACTATTCATTTGTAACAATTTGTTTAAAGAAATGAGGTCAATTTGTCCTCCAGTAGTCTAAGCTTAAGGCAGCATGACAAGCCGACCCTAACTATAGGATTTATCAAAAAGGAAAGTCTTAAACTGGACAATGTGTCAGCCTCATGGACAGAAACTGGAAGTTGGCTCCATAAGAGAGGAGCCTGATAACTGAAAGATCTTCCTCCCATTCTGCTCTTGGAAAATCTATGGATCGTGAGTAAACCTGCAGTCTGAGAGCGAAGTGCTCTATTAGGAAAATGTGGAACGGTAAGTAGGGATGCACAATATTAGATTTTTGGCCGATATGTTAAAACTTATTTGACTGATAACCGATACTGATATTTTATATACTTTCCTTTGTCAGAACATAGCCCTCTTATTTAGGCTTATTTGCTACAAATATTGTGTAACAGCTGTAAGAGCTGGTGACATATATTCAGTAACAGCCATTCAGTAACTAACCCTAACCCTAGCACTTTAACTTATATTAAATGAAAAGTGTTAAATGTTATTTGTTTGCATGAGTCACCTGCAATGCTGTCCCACTTGTTGAGGCTTGTTCAGGGTTTCTAGCTGCAGTGTGGGATCCTCTGCACTCTTGTGCCTTTTTAAGTTCAAAGTTTTTGTCTATCCATTGTGCCGTAAGACTAATGGGTTAGACTAATGCTAATGGTGCTATCACAACATCCAAATGTCTGTGGTAAAACTCACCCAAGTGCTATCGGCTATTAGCTTCTCAATGACGTCGGAAATGACGGCTTGTAACTCGGGTAAGGTTACGTCGGAAAAATATCTCTGACTGGGAATGATGTATCGAGGCTCAGCGTAGTCCAAAAATCTTCAGAATCCGACATCCTCAACAACAAAAAAAACTTTCACATTGCTGACATTTTGAATTTTCCTCTCCATCGTGAGATCAGGTAGGCGCACGTGACGGGGGGGGGGGGGGGGGGGGTGTGTTTGGGGGGGGGGGGGAGAATTTGGTTTGGTAGGCGGAGTGCTCCTTTCTGTTGATGGAGTGGGGCACCCTACAGCTTTGACAAAAAAATGTTTCTCCCCTTTATTCAGCGCATCGTACAAAATGGTGTCGTATATTAACATGATCATGCACCTGTGCAGGAGGTTTGGGGTTACCGGCTCTGTCAGTGGAAGATGATCCTGGTGGGTGTGGGGGTCGTCTGCTCCGGTGGTCTTTTACTACTGCTGCTTTACTGGCTACCTGAGTGGAGAGTCAAGGGAACATGCACACGCACCTCGCTGAAGGACGCTCACATTCTGCTGCTTAGGACAACTGTAAGGAACCCCCTCTGTGTTGATACGTTTTGTACTTGTATTTGTAATTTCTTAAACACTTGTAGTTCTTTCATGCAACCAAAAAATGAGTAATTAAATGATGCTGGTGACACCTGTAAATAACAGATGTTTCTTCTATAGAGCTTGATTTAACCTGCTGTGTTCTGTGCACGTTTAGACTTTCTAATGTATTCACTAGTTTCAATCATTTACTTCTGATTTATTGTACATCCAAAATTTGTTGTAAAATTATTTTTCTGATTTCCACAGGATGAGTTCAGGCAGTGGTTTCGAGTCAAAGTGTGTGTGATTCTGGCGCCAGGAAGAAAACCTTTTGATTTGGATTCACTGCACAAAACTCAGCTACAAAATGGAGACATGGACCATAATGTGTGCTTCGTGCACCAAGAACATCATGAAAAAATTTATGGTCACCATGTTCGGGTAAGCATGCGTGTTATGAAATTTATTTTTTGTACTTAATGAAATAATCAAATTATGCAAACAAAACCAGCAAATTCAAAAAAGTTCAAGACAAAAACAACTGGACTTTATTTATAACTGAAGAGGTTTCGGTTTTCATCTGAGGAACTTTCTCAATTCAAAGAACAGAGTGTGGAGTTCGATTTAAGGCACCCACATACTCGGGCGTACCGTGTGTACTCTGTGAGCCGCACGAACTCTGCGCGTACTGTCTGCAGACGGTTGAGACTTCATACTCGAGCGTACATCCTGATGGGCTGCAGCCCACCTCTGCAGGTAAGGGGTGTTTACCTCCAGGATAAAATGAGGTCGCCAAGTGGTCATTTGCTGACACACCTACTGGATTGATTGACATGTCGTGTTGCAGATCTGACTCGTGGAGAAAAAGTAGAGGCAGGGCGGCTCAGGAGCAGCAGCAGCAGTGTTCTGTGTTTATATTGTAGTATGACATATATGTGGGGACCTTTATAAAGCTGAGCTAAGCTAGATACACATGCAGATTTCCCTTTCACTCCTCACAATAGGGGTTCTTTAGGGTCTTTGTTAGACTCTGACACACAGATGGGCAACTCTGGTCACATGGATGAAATTCCTGATAGGTGTGAAAATTAATGGGTTTCAGTTGTAAAGCTGCATTTTAAGGTTTTGAAAGTTAAAACCTGAGACCTCTTCCTCTGTTTAAATATGGTTTCTGTCATTTTACATAAATGGCTTCCTTCACCCCTCGGATGAGCTCTAAGCTCCTCGGATGAGACGCAAAACTTCACAAATAAAGTCCACTTGTTTTTGTCTTGAACTTTTTTGAAGTGTTCAGACCCCCTGAAAGTTTTACAGTTTTGTTATGTAGCAGCTTGAATCTACATTCGTATAACTTTATTTTTTCTCAGCGGTCTACACTCATTATCCCATAGAGACAAACCAATTTTTGTTCTATTTTGTAAATTTATTAAGAAAACCCTGAAATATTACATTTCCATAAGTATTCAGAGTTTTTACTTTGCACTAAATTGAAGCACCTTTGGCAGCAGTTCTGGCCTCTGGTCTTTTGGGGTTTGATGCAACAAGCTTTGTGCACCTGGATTGAGGTCACTACTCAGTGGGGGCCATTAGTCAGTGGCGGCTCCAGAAATTTTTTTCAGCAGGTGCTAAGGGGAGGCTAAGCATTTTACTGTGGGTGCTATGAAGGTTATTTTTCTTCCCTAGAGTTATCAACACAAACACAAGCACACGTGCACGCACACACACACACACACACACAGGTGCACTGAAAACTCTGACATCAGCAGTCACCAATACAGTGGATAGTGAATAATGTGGTACATTAAATTACCTTTGTTAGCTGAATCCTGTTTCTCACTGTGACTGCGCTGTGCGATTCCCTGACAAGCTGTGTAGCGCAAACTTTCTACAACACCCATCATGTACCTCCGGTTCTCCTGAACCAATGCAGAATGTCCTTTGTCGAGCATGTTGGGGAGTTTTGATCCACTCGTTTGTTTAAACTTGAATTCACTCCACGCTTCCATTGCAAATTTGTGTCCGGCGCTTTCATGATGGCTCTTCAATGACGCTGCTGCTTTCCGCCAGTTGTTAAAGCCGAGCGCGGTAAATGCTGGCTCAAGATGGAACCTGTGTCCTCCTTTTAGAAAATGCCGACAAGCAAAACAAAACACGGCATCTTTACTCACGCTGTATTCTAACCACAAATATTGATCGAGCCAGCCTTTACTAAAACTTCTCTGTTGCACTCCAAACAAGCGTGATGGGTATTTTTGCAGAAGTGGTCGTCTTGGTCCATCTTGAGGACTTCTGCTTAGATCTTCTAGCTGTCCAGTGCTAACACTGTTAGCATTCTCAGCAGCAGTGGAAGGATAACTGCACAGTTTATCTTCTTCATCCAGATTAATATTTCTTTGTTGGTCGGACTCTGCTTCCAAAAAATGCATCCTTCTCAAATTCCATCCGTGGAACTTTTGGTTGCAAAAAACGATCCATATTTGCGCAGCGTGTTCCTCTCAATTGCTTCCCGGAAGTAATAATACGCAAAGTTCAAATCAGGTTGAATTATTTTTTTTATTTTTATTTTTTACTGAAATTAGAATGGTTGATTCTTTTTATATATATTTGTCTTTAGAAGAAAATGCCACAACTACATATTTAAAATATTAAATTAGATGAAGAAAAAAATCTAAATATTTCCTGGGGGTGCTATGGAGGTGCTATAACTTTTCTAGGGGTAGCTATAGCGCCCCCTAGCGTCCCCCTGGCGCCGCCACTGCCATTAGTGGAGTCCAGTCTCCAGTGATGTTTGATAGGGTTCAGGTCATGGCTCTTGCTGCGCAACTCAAGAACTTTCACAGGCTGTCGCTAAGCCACTCCTGTGCGTCTTCTCTGAGTATTTTGGATCATTGTCATGCTGGAAGATGAAGCTTTGGTCTGTCCTGAGACACTGAGCTCTGTGGAAAAGACTTTCATTGTATCTCTGTACAATGATCTTAACCCTGACCAGGTCTTTAAAGTACTCATTGTGCCAAATTTCTCACGTTTAGGACTTATGGAGGCCACTGAAATCTCCAGAACCTTAATTTCTTCAGAAATGTTTTTGTTCTCTTCCTCAGGTCTGTCCGTTGCAACATTTTTTTGTCTGAGCTCTACAGGGAGTTCCTTTGACTTGGTTTGGTTTCTGCTCTGATTGTTGGCTGGAGGTCTTTCATTGAGCGATGTGCTTATCCAAATCATGTCCAATAACTTAATTTAAAACAAGTGAATTTGAGTCAATGTGTAGAGGCATCAGAGTAAAGCTTTAAAGAACTGGTAGCTAAATTTCAAGTGTTGTCTGTCTTAAAAGTGTTTTTTTTCCCTCTGCTTTGTAAATTTACATTATATAAATGTCTGACTGTAGATTATAGAGTAAAACAGTAATGTAAATAATTGCAGCATCAAGCTGCAACAAAACAAAATGGCAAAACAGAAGGGATTCTGAATCCTTTCTGAAGACGATGTTTCACAGACGAGTTCAGCTTTAGGCTTTTCAGTGTCTGTCAGTGACCATGTTCAGAGCGACCTGGAGTTAGTTTTGAAGCACGTCTGTTAACTTATAAAACTGTCAACATCTGATCTCCTCACTCTAATGTCGTCCTCTTAGATAAAACACTTCACTCACCACACCACCAGATACTTCTGGAATGAGGAGATGCAGAACTTTGAATTATACCAGTAAGTAAAGTTCTCATTGTAATGGTCATTGACCATCAATTTGGCAGCCTAGAATTCATTAACAAAAACTGAACTGTCACTACAGGATGGATTATACATTTACACACAGATGCTCCCAAATATACTCGTGTACATCTTTTTTTTTGTTTGTCCTGTATGGTTCTTGTGACTGTAACTGATATAAAACATTGAGTTAATAATATAATAAATGAGACACTTTGATCAATTACAGTGGGTTTCAAAAGTAGACATCCACCTGTAGACAATCTGTCAAATTATTTCAGTAGGTCTGTTTGGATAACCCCCACAATCCACATTAGAGCAACACCTTTCAGGGCTACTACTAAGCATTAAAATCAGAGAAACACCCACAAGGACAAAGATAACCCTGATGAAGCTGCACAGTTTTTTTTTTTTTACAGAGAATGATTTGGCCAAAGAACCACTAAAAATCTGACAAACCTGAAAAGACTTGATGCTGCTTCAAAAGAAGGTTTTACAAAGTATTTTTTTAGGGGAGTGAATAGTTACACGTGTTCAGGTTTTTGGATTTTTTTTTTTCCAATATATGATCTACATCTTCACAATGGTATTTATGCACAATGAAAATATAAAATTGAGTCAAAATTCTTGTACAATTCCAGGTTTTAAGGCAACAAAACAAGAGACGGTATGAATGGGGTAAAATTATTGTAAATAAATAGTGTTGAATTTGAACAACTGGTTGTGTTTCAGTGCCTCAATAATAAATCCTGTTTGATTATTGAGAAAGTGCACAAACATACAGTGCTTATAAAAAGTACTCACCCCTTTGATATTTTGTGCTTTTATTGCTGACAAAACAATCAAGGTCAATAAAAATGAGGTGTTGGCAGCAATTTTAAACGGTATGTTTTCAATGCCAAAGTGAAATCAAATTTCTAAGGTGTAATATTAAATAAATAAAAACGTGATAAATATTCCCCCTCTTCACATCAGTATGCAGCACAAACACCTTTGGCTGCAGTCACAGCTCTAAATCTGTGTGGATAAGTCTCAGTTACTGTAGTCCTGCATAAAACTGCTCAAACTCTGTCAGGTTGTGTGGGAACAACCCCTTTTTTAAGTTGAGCCATAAAGTCTCTGTTGGATTCATGTCTGAGCTTTAACTCGGCCTCTTTAGAACATTCACCTTTCTGTCTTTAAACCATTACCGTTTAGTTTTTGCTGAATGCTTCAAGCCCGAGTCTTGCTGGAAAATAAATCTTCTCTCAAGCAGAAGTTCTTTTACAGACAGCATCAGATTGTCCATTCATTTTACCCTCTAACTTTACTAGCCCTCCAGGGCTGGCTGCCAAGAAGCATGACCATAGCATGATTATTCCACCACCATGCTACACTGTGGGGATGGGGCGTTTAAGATGGTGAAAATTTGAGTTCAGTAGCCAAAAAGCTCCAATTTGGTCTCATCGGCCCACAAAACTTCCTTCCACTTGACCATGGAGTCTTCCACATGCAGTTTGTAAACAGTAGTCAGTATTTAATTTGAGTTTCCTGCAGCACTTTCACTTTACTTTCCTCCTTTAGAAATTAGACTAGTGAAGAATCTGGGCAACAGGTGGACCCACAGTACCTCCATCTCACCTGCTGAAGCTTGTAGCTCCTTCAGAATTATCTTGATGGCCTCTCTCATGCACCCCCCCCCCCCCCC